GGTGAGGTGCCACTGAGCTACATCCTGGTTTAAGTTGTTTTTTTTTTTAATCTTTGTTTTTTAAAACACAAATTTTATTATAGGTTTAAAGACGTCAGTTAACAATTCTATCAAGTCACACAGTTAGAGTTGCTTCTGTAACAAGGGCAGTTAGAATGCACACGGGGTGCAGACACCTTTTCATGGGGCAGAACTGGGCTCTCCTGGCCCCACCCCCTCCTCCTAGCCCTTGGCAATCACCGTCCTGCTGCCTGCAGGTGTGATGTGACCCAGCCAGGTACTGCATGGAAGTGCCACGATACAACGTCTGTCTTTTTGTGACTGATTTCACCTAGCATAACCTCACAGCTCGTTTGTATGGCAATGCGTGTCCTCTTTAAGGCTGAATAATATTCCATTGTATAATATCTCATATTTTGCTTATCCATTCAGCTGTAGATGGACACTGGGTTTCTTCCTCTCACTCTTTTAAGCACCTTGAGTAATATTGCTCCGAACATGGATGTAAGAATACTTTTCTGAGACCCGCTTTCAATTCTTTTGTGTATACACCAAGAAGTGCAATTGCTGGGTCAATTCTTTTTTTTTGGTACTGGGGATGGAACTTTTGACCTTGCAAGGCAGGCACCGGAACCACTGAGCTAAATCCCCAGCCCATGGGTCAATTCTATTTTTAATTCTGAGGAATTGTCGTATTGTTTTCTGTAAAGGCCACACCATTTTACCTTCCCACCAACCACTCCCTTCAACACCTCATCTTATATTCAGGCCCCCAAGCCATGCACCATCCATTCATTATTTACTTACTGTGACTTCTGTGTTCTGCTAAGGTTAGGTCTATCTGCTAAGGTTAGGTCTAGGGAAACCCACCCACCCTGTGCTGAAAATATCAGCACTGGAGGGAGGGAGTGAGGGGAGAGGAAGGGAGGGGAAGGAGTTGCCAAAAGCTTTAAACTGTGCTGTGGACTCACAATTCCCGGGAGGACTATAATCCTTATCTACTGCAAACATGACTCATAAACATAACAGTTAAAAAAGAAAATATTGGTAACTCAAACATGCATTCAATTGAGCAAAAGCAAGAAACCCAGACAGGCATTTTCCAAGCGTAAGATGCACAAACAAAATAATTCCCAAATACTGGCAACATAGTATCTGTTGTCAGCTCCCCGACTGGGCGCTGGGCAACAGCTCTCAGTGAAGTGTTGTCTGCCCCATCCACGACTGTAGTCCCAGCGTTTAGGAGTCTGAGGCAGGAGGATCGCTTCGAGTTGGAGGCCGGCTTGGAACAGGGAGACCCCGTCTCAAAAAAAAAAAAAAAAAAAGTATTGTTTGATGTGTGGTTAGCCTAAGAGAGGATCAAAATTCAAAGTTCAAAGTATGGCTTATCCTGAACGCTGTCCGTTTTCAGACCATTGCAGAGTCAAAAAATCATGAGTGAAATCATTATAAATCAGGGACCACTTGTTTGCAATTAAATCTGTCATAATGCTATATGAGGAAAACCTTGGCTTCTAGAACTTTGACACTAATAGGTGACACTCAGTTTGGATGAGGGAAGGCTGACTTTAGGGAGGGAACTTTGAACTGAGACTGGAGACTTCATTGGAATGGACCGGATGGGGAGAGGGAGTAGAAAGGAGAGTGGCCGAAAGGAATAGAGAGGTGTTTTGTGGGATCAGATCTGCCCGTCCCCTGAGACTGCACACTTGAACTGGAAACTTCTTTTTTCTTTTTTTTTGGTTCCGGGAATCAAACTCGGAACCTTGCGGTCACGATGTAGGTGGCAGAACCACTGAGCTAAATCCCTGGCTAACTGGAACCTTTTGAGTTCATAATTCAGCATGCATTTGTTAGTACTCAAGGTGCCAGTGGGAGCTATGAGTTCTAGCTTTTCCACCAACAACACAGGAAGAAAAAAAGAACTCTAATGAGGAGAACGGGGTTCTGCATCCCTGACCTCTTTGTGAACAATAAAGCTGCTGTATTTATAGACTGCTGAAAAATACGCCAACAAGTACATTTCCCAAAAATTCTTCTCTGGAATAAACATTAAAAGGATTGGATTTAAAAATCTCAATCAAGTGAGGCGTGGTGGTGCACGCCTGTAATCCTAGCACTCAGGAGGCTGAGGCAGGAGGACTGCTGTGAGTTTGAGGCCAGCCTGGGCTACAGTAGTGAGTTCAGGGACAGCCTGAACTACAAAGGGAGACCCTGCTTCAAAAAACCGAAAAAAAAAAAAAAATCCCAATCATCTAATAAAAGACATTAGCTTTAAAAAGTTTAATCACCAGCTGGGGGGCGGGTGCACACCTGTAAACCCAGCACTTGGCAGGTTGAGGCAGGAGGAGTGCGGAGTCAGTGTGGGGCCAGCTTGGGGGCTACGTTACGGGTTTAAGGCCAGCCTGAACCATGGAGCAAGCTCCTGTCTCAAAACAACAAAACAAAACAAACAAACCCAAGGAAAGCAAAACAAAAAATAAACTAAAAGTTTAATGATCTTTTATTTTGATCATTTTTCTTTTCTAAATCTAGTCCCACCCAGAGCTTTTGATTACTTATGGAATTCTAAATAACTGAATACTAGTTTTAGATGAGGGATTCACCACTCATCTTCCATTCACTGTCTGCTTTGCTCTGGGCTCTCACATCACTTCTACCTACCTGTTCTAGGGTGTAGCTCTTCAGTTAGTTCTTGGTGCAAAATATGTACTGTGTCCTTCTGTTGCCCTTCACAGGAGGCTCCCATTGAGGGAAACTTCTCAGCATTGGCTGGAGTGACTTCCATAGACCCTAGATTTTTCAGGGAGTTTTAATGTAGCATATGTTTACTGGACCAGTTTTTGTGGTTTAGATATCTTGTCTATATTCAGTTACTGCTGGATCGTAGGTATTGAAATGTGATAGAAAAAACTGTTGGAGTCGGACTTCGGAAGTGACTAGTTAAATTACTTCCTGTCTTCAAAACTGTTTCTTCTCTTTCTTTTTTTTTTTTTGAGACAGGTTCTCACTATGTAGTCCAGTCTGGACTTGAACTCACTGTGTAGCCAGCCCAGGCTGGGCTTGAATTTGCTGCAATCCTCCAGCCTCAGCCTTTTGAGTGTTGGGATTACGGGCTTGCACCACCATACCCGGCAAGTTTCCTCATTTTCAAAATAGATAACAGTGCTGACTTTATGAAGATAAAAAAGAAACCACGTGCTTTCTGTGCAGCCTGTGGCATTACTTAGGGCTTAATCAGTTCTTATTATTTTCACTTGGAAATTTCAGTGCCACAATTTTACCACTATACAGAAATGGTAACATGTTTAAACTATCACTTGTTAAAATAAATCAATACCAGCGACTGTACTTTCAGGGAAATTTTCCTTAAACCACCAATATTTTTACTGTTCGTTCATTTAGATTGTAAATTACATCGCCCGCCACACTGCCCTACACAGAAAAGGTGTTGGGAATATCAGTAGATTAGTCAGTGAGGCAGGTGCTAATTGGCTTTTTTACTCAGTATCACAATTCTAAACCCCATCTATGTATTGTTAAAACAAATTCTTACTTTTCCATTTCTGCTATTTCCAATTGACTGGCTGCAATTCTTATTTGTTTTAGACAATGTACGTAAAACAATGCAAAACATTTTCAAGCAGCGGCTCAAAAACTGAAAGTTACCCCTTTCTTCAGTAAGTTTGCATTGATAGTCTCCAATATCAAAAACATGATCGAGTGGATTTATTTCCAATTTCTGGTTGTCCAAACACCCAGCTGAACACATTGATGAGCTCCACACTGCACTGCTTGGACTCCTGATGAGCTCACAAGCACCTCTTCCAAGCCAGGAGCACGGCAAATAACTAATCAAGAAAACGCAATGCACAAATGGGGAGGCAGGGGTTATATCCTCGCAGTCTCTTACAATGAAGTAAATGTCAAATAGAGGTGCTTGTCCGGGAGCAGCAGGGAAACACCAGACTTGCAAGGTTGAAGATTTCATCATTCTTTCAGCCTTTATGGAGCATTGTGTAAGGCAGTTAGCCAGATCAATTTATATAGATTTATGGTGTAAATACGATACACACACCCTTTTGCAAAATTCAAGGCATCCCTATGCTAGGATGATACACTCTGAACTATATATATCTTTTCTGTAATAAAGTCTGCACTGCCAAAACCCCCAGTGATGATTAGTAACAGCCAGCTCCTCTGGGCGTCCTCACTGCTAACCCACGGAAGATGTAAAAGCATTGTTTCAGTAATAAAATATGATGTTATCAGACATTCATGTCTCATGAGGAAGAAATGCAATTGCTCGCTGTTTTGATACTATCTCGGCTATGCTTGCTTTTAATCTGACTTTTTTATGTTTAGCAGCCAGATATTTTAAAGTTTCACCAAAAAAAAGTTCACAGTGTAACAACAAACCGATCCTTGTGAGTTGGAATCCTGGGGCCCACTGCTACCCATGGAAAGGTGATGAATCGCGGTGACGCTTAGGGTGAAGGTTGGTAAGTCGAGGGCCTTTTTAAGAGCGGAGATGGGCGCAAAGCAGAATAAAACCGATTCACCATTCTTCAGTGGTCTCAAACTCAGTTTCAACACTTCCATCAGAAAGAAGATGGAAGGCGACACAGTTTTTGTATTTGGAGATCTAAAAGCTGAACCAAGGTGTCCCACCGTGAAGAGACCTCCCCCCTCAGCTGGTGGACATCAACCTCACAAAAGCAATTTTTGGAGCACACTATTTTTCACGCGCGCCCTAGTTTTTAATAAGCGCGCATTTCCCCCCTTCTTCCTCTCCTCCCCGAGGACTCCGAGTCGGAGTGAGGATGGGTCCCCTCTCATTTCGTCTTCGCCACAGCCAATCTGAGCCAGGATGCTAATTAGCTGCGCTCCCCTGATGAACACGCCTTTGTCACATGTAGGGCCGGACTACAAAGCCCAGAATGCCTCGCCCCTCCCTGATCAATGAGGGCTTATTTAAATGATCTCTGAGGTCTTGGACCCAGGCCAATCAGCTGTCAGGGCTCATGATAAATCGCAATGCATTATTGATAATAATAATTACTGGGACATGCGCGTTCGGGCCGAAGGGGGGTAAATTTCCTAACTCCAGGAATTTGTGGTGGAGAGGCCAAATAACCGCGGCTCTCCCGGCGCCCCGATGCTGGCACCATGTCGAGGCGCAAGCAGGCGAAACCCCAGCACATCAACTCCGAGGAGGACCAGGGCGAGCAGCCTCCGCAGCAGCCCACCCCAGAGCTTGCAGATGCGGCCCCAGCGGCGCCGGCGGCGGGGGAGCCGGGTGAGTGGGGCTGCGGCGCCCGGGCGGGAGGGCGCTTCCCGGGCGCCCGCGGGACCCTCGAGGGCGCGGGCTGCGGGGCCGGAGCGCGCTTTGCGGCTCCTTTCCGGGAGGGAGCAGCCTCTGCCCCGGCTCTCCGTCCTTGCAGGGTTTACACTTTTCCCTCTCCCTCTTATTGTAAAGTTGACCCCGCTCTCCCCCGTCTCCCGCACTCCCGAAAGGTCCCGCTCGCCTGGTCCTCAGCCCCTTTCTTAATTGGTTCCACCCCCCTCCCCAGTGTCCCCCTCCCGTAACTTAGGCCCCCCTCCCTCCCTCACGCCCTCCCTCCCTCCCTGGCGCCGCTTTTTAAAGAAAAGAGACCCTGGGGCTCCCCACCCTCCGCCGCCCGCGGGGGGCCTTCGGAGGGGAGGAGGGGCGCACCGGGCGGACCCCCGGCTGCGCGGTCCCGGGCGCGCGCCCCTCCCAGGCCGAGTGGGGGAGGGGACGCGACCCCCCCCCCGGGGGCCAGGGTCCCGGCCACCCGCGCGCCGCGGGCCGGGAGGGCTCGGGAGAAGGAAGGGGCCGTGTTGGTCTTTTCGCGTTTATTTCGCCTTTTTTGGGTTTCGCCCTTTCCCCCGGGCTACGCCGCCTGCCGATCTTCGCCCTAACCTTTCGGGGCCTGACCTCCAGCCATCTTTGATTTCCGACTTCCTAAAAATAACCGCGGCCAGTCGGAGGGGTGCCGGCCGCGGGACCCGGCGCCGGACGAGCCCCCGAGGTGCGCCCGCCTCGCTCCGCGCACGCCCTTTCTGGGGAGCCCGGCTCTGCACTTGCGCGCCCGCAAGGGGGAGAGGTCGGGCCGGGGCCGGGGCCGGGGCCGGGGCCGGGGCCGGCGGTCGTGGCCCGGCGAGCTCCCGGGGTGGACCCGGCCCACGCTTCCGCGCCAGCGCCTCCCGGGGCGAGCGGAGCTCGGGAGCCGGGGCGGGGGCCGATCCCGTCCCGGCCAGCGTCACTGGCCCGGGAGGGTTAGGGGACAGCCGGTTTCCCGCCCCCTCCGCCCGGCCCGCCAAATCGTCGCCTGCTAAATTTTGAGCATACGCGCGGGGGGAGGGGCGCCGTGACCTCCGGCCTCGTCCCGCGCCCCCCGAGTCCCCGCGCGCGGCCGCCCGGTGCTCCGCGCCCAGTTCCGGCGCTGGCTGTGGCCAGCGGACGGTCGCTGCTTCTTGGCACCCCCGCCTTCCCCTTTTGGCCAGGGAGGGAATGTAGTTCCCCGAGTTCATAATACTGAATGAAATCACTCCCTCCGCACACTTGTTTGCAGGGAACGTGAGAAACACTAGTTTGGCCCCGAGCACAGCCGCGCACTCTCGGGGCGTCCGATGAGCAGGGCTGCGCACCGTCGAGGTCCGGGCGGCGAGGTGGACTCTTTGTGCCTCTCTTGGGGACGGGGGGAGCGGGGAGAGGCTTGGTGGCCTGGCCCACCTGGAACAAAAGGGTTAAAACCCTCGGCCCGCCCGCTTCCTCCGGAGAGGAGGGGCGAGCTCCGCGCCCTGACCCCTCCCCTGGTGCTGCTCTGACCTCCCCTTCCCCCTTCGTTTTGGGTGGGCGCACGCTAGTGGGGCTCTGGGTAGTTGTTGGCACCTTCAGGGAGAGCTTGTTACGCCAGAGCTGCTGAGATTTACGCCGGCCGGGGCTGGCGTTCACCTGAGCCTGGGGCAGGAGCTCGAGCCCGGCCGTGCGCTCCCACTGCGGTTTTGGGAAAGGGCTGCTCTATTGATTACTGGCTCGGTGCGGCCGGCCGGCCGGCCGGGCTGCGCGCGGGCGCCCCCTGGAGGCCCTGCTGGAGCCGAGCCCGCGGCGGGGAGGCGGGTCCTGCGCAGGCTGACTCACACCTGGTGAGTGGGGAGCCGGGCGAGGGCCGGACCCGGCCGGGGAAGGGCGCCCCCGCGGACTTGTGCCGCTCACCTGCTCGGTCGCCAACTGCGCCAACTGCGTCAGCTATTCTTTCCCAGCTGTTTGGAATTCTTTGAAAGAATTCCTCGATCCTAGAATGTTTGAAGAATCCTCGTTTGCTGTCTTGGGACAGGAGGTAGTTTTCCAAGCACTGCGCTATAAATGGCTGCATATTGGATGTTTGCATTTGATCAACCCCCATATAGATGATGGGGATCATTTTTTAAAAATTAAGACTGGGCCGTTCTTATTTTAAGATGATGGGGATCATTTTTTTAAAATTAAGACTGGGCCGTTCTTATTTTACTACGCCGTTTGAGAACGTGGTTTTTGGAGAGGAGAAAATGAAGTCCAGGCAATAATTAGCAGATCAAAAAATCCGCAGGTGGTCAAGGAGGGGACTAACACTACTTAAAGGAAAATTAGCATTTTCTCAAAAGGGTTTCAAATGCCCTTTGTGCTAAACTGGATTACAACCTTCTACGATTAAGATTCCCAAGTTTCAAATAACTTCCTAGCCCCAGTTTCTCGCCTAAAGTGAACTACACTGGCCTAGGCTAACGTTTACTCTGGTCTACTCTGATTTCCCTAAAAGGAAGATCGGCTGCAATTTCGCCACAGCCCCTTTTCCATTCATTAAGATAAGTTGCAATGTGAAATACATTCTGCGCCTGATAGAACTGTAGCCCACCCTCCCTTGTGCATAAGTAAATGATACTTTGTCTTTCATGTTGGCGCTTAGCAAGCTTCCTCTTAGGTGGGAGGCTGGGGAACCATTTTGGGAGGCTGGAGAAGGTGAGCATTTCCTCCCGTCAAATGCGAGGTGGTGGGTGGGTGCCTGCGAAGCTGGTGGGGTTGTTTGGTTGGTTGGGTTTTGGGGATGACACTTTAAGTGGGGTCTGCGTTCTGCTCTGGTTATATTTCACTTGTAACATTGGGGATACCTTAATCCCACCCCCCACCCCCCGGGCTTAGCTTTTGGGTTCTTTATATAGTTGCAATAAAATAGAAGATTTCAACTACGGAAGGACTATTTTGTGTTGGGAATGTGATCAGTAGTTCATTTTGTTCAAAGGAACAATGCTCTCGGCTTTGCTGTTTGGTGGAGATGGTATTGAGCTGCTAATTGAAATAATTCTGTAGAAATAACCTACTGTGTGCTAGACCCCAGGCTGGAGACCTCAAGTACATTATCTTTAATTCTCTCAAAACTCCCATTTTTATTCACTAGAGAGTAAATTGCAGCCCCTGGTGGCAGTGGCTTTGCCCGTGGTTCCCTGTCCTGTAGGATATTAGCCTGGCCCTGAATTCAAGGAGTCCTGTTACACGTCTTGTAGCAGTTGGTGACAGAATAGAGTTTTCTTCCTTGTTTCAAGATGCAAAAGCCATGTTTAGTAAACTGGTTGGGTCCGGTGACCCCTCTACCCTATTTCAGAAGAGCCTTTGCAAGCTTGAGATGAAAAGGTCCCTGAGAAGTGAGTAGGAAATAAGTGTTTGCCTTTGGTTGGCTCCTTTCCTGGGCCATATGCCCTGGGAAAAGATGGAGAAAATAATTTAAGAAGTTTCCTTTCTAATCACCTTTAACTTGGGCACTTCTAAAAACCTCTAAACTTGTTTAAAAGCCTCTAAATCGGAACAAGAACTGTTTGGCTGGTCTCTGCCACCCCCACCCCCCAATCTGTATCAGGCTTTTGGGGGGGGGGGTGTTGGTACCGGGGATCGAACTCGGGTCCTTGCGGTTTCGAGGCAGGCACGGAACCACTGAGCTAAATCCCCGGCCCTGTATCAGGCTTTGTTCTCCAGGCACAGCCGAAGGAAGAACAAAAACCCTGCCCTCATGGAGTTTGCAAAACACTTCTGGAGTCTTGATAAAGGAGATCACGCACCTTAGCACCTTAGCCGCCGATGAGTTGTTCCTTGACCCTTTTCCTCTGTACGGAGCCCCTGAACTTTGATCCAAGACTGAAACCTCATGTTTTTAGGTCTTCATTAGGTAGAATCTTAATTTCAGGTCCGATTTGCTATCTACAAATGGAGTTAAACGCTTGAGCCCTCAGCGTTGCACTAGTAAAAGGGCACTTTCAACTGGTTCAGTACAGTTGCTTTGGGGAAAATTTCCTTTTTTTCTTTTTGGTAAGCGCTTATCCTAGGTGTGGGGGAGGGTGGAAGATATTGTGTACTTAGTTAATCTCCTCATTGTCCTTTAATATAGGAATGAGAAAAAAGATAAGCTTGACTCATGCTTTTATCAAGATATACAGGGTTTTATTTTGTTAAGTGTTTTAGTGTCTCCAGAATTTGATTGGCCTCCAGTAGATTAACTTTCTTCCTATACAATAGTAAGAGTATTTTCTATCCATTTGGCAGTGATTGAATCCAAGACCCCTGCTGGGTTTACTGCATTCTTCCAACTTATTGGATAACTAGATGCGGAGAGATAACATTCCTAAAATTCGGGGTGGGGGTGGGGTGGAGGGAGAGAAACTCATTGCAGTGTAATCCCTCTGAACTTTGCTTTTTTCCTTTCGAGTTAATTTAAGCATGCCCAGCGATTGTTCCTGACTGAGTCCTCTGACTGCCCGGCAAATACGGTTTTAGTATTTGCCCATGGTGGTGTGGATATAGAAGTCCTTTTTACCGCATAAGCAAATAGCTGCTGCTGTTTTAAGACTCAAGTGGGATGTTTTCTGGGAGGCTGCAGCAGAGGTGGGCTTGTGTATACAGTGCGGGCAGCTGGTTTGCAGGCTGTAAATCACTGGGGATGGGTGGATCCTTGTAGGGCCAGGAGTTTAACCTTTTTTGTGCCATAGATCCCTTCTGAACATGATTTTGAAACTACGTAGAAAAGCAAGGGAACAAATCACACCAGAGTGTAGTTCTCAGGAATGAAGACATTTGGGGTACACAGTTGGCCCTCTATCTCTGCAGGTTGTGCCTCTGGATTCAACCAGCCAGGGGTCGGAAATGCTCAGGAAAAAACTGCATCTGTACTTTTGTCTTTATAGATTTCTGTTTCTTGCCCTTGCTCCCTAAACAATATACTAGTATAACATAGCATTTACATTGTGTTACATACAAAGTATATAGGGTGTACAAGTTGAACACAAATCCCATTTATTTACGTATTTATTGTGATAAGGTCTAGCCCAGGTTGGCCTCAAACTCTTGATCCTCCTGAGTAAATCCTATACCATTTTATGTAAAGAACCTGATCATCCACACATGTCTCCAGTTGATCGCAGAGATCCTGGAAACAATCCCCTCACAGACTGTAATAACATGCTACTTTATTAATAAAGAATAAATAAGAACTAGCATCCTGTCAGGCTATCACTAGGATTTTCAAGGCAATGTGACAACACTGTATGAAAATAGTTGCAGTTTCTGTTGGCGACGTGAGTCACAGGTTCTGCTAACAGCACTTTGGTGTGGTCCTTACATGTCTAATTGGAAGAAATGTTCGTTTTTAGTTCCTGTTAGTGATTGACTAAGTTTGGTTTTCTTCATCCCGTGGACCCCAGCTCAGGAAGGCTTGCTTTAGGAGCTGGGATGTAGTTCAGGGTAGAGACCGTGCTTTCTGTGTAGAAAGCTGTGGGTTCCATCTCGAGCATCGAGCATTGAATAAAACAAGTGAGAAGCCTGCAACCGCTGAATGAGAGGAGATTGGCCCAAAAGGATGAAAATTGTAGGAAGAGGAGAAACTTACGGCATTAAAAACTGTGGCCCATGGAGGAGCTGCAATATATAAGCATATAATAAGCACATATATTTGTGCTACTAAAATTTCGTGAGAGAGGGGCATTTGGGGGAAAATATTAAAATTATCCATAGAGAGTTGAAATGAGCTGTAGAAGAAACAGTTATGAACTAGGTGTCATTTTATTGTCCTTCTTAAATAGTATTTAGGAATTCTGCCCTTGCTCTTTATTCTTGGTGGCAGTGTCACCTCGAGCAACTTCAGTATGTCTTGAGCCTCAATTTTCACATCTGTAAAATGGGAGTGAAAGGCTACAAAGATAAATGAGTTAAGCTATAAGACTGGTGTCTGATGCTGTTCTTACTTGAGCAGGGTGGTCATAGTTTCCTTTGACCCTTAAAAAGTGGAATAGAATAAACAGCATGAGCCTTCTTAGAATATTCTAAAAGTAGAATAGCTGAGATGAAATGATAAAGTGAAGAGATGGGCTTGGCTCAGAAAGTAGCTTTATGTCTTGGACTTGTTTGATGCTAATTCAAAAGATGTCTTAGTGGCAGGCCTGGTGACACACCCATAATCCCAGCACTCTGGGAGGCTGAGGCAGGAGGATTGCAAATTTGAGCCTAACCTGGGCAGTTTAGCAAATTAGCAAGACCTTGCCATAGAATAAAAAATGATTAAGAGCTGGGGATGCCTGGGTTTGATTCCCTAGCATGACCCCCAAAGAAAAGAATATTTTAGTACATAAAGTATATCTAGTGAAGAGTATTCCACCTCAAACTCCTAGACACACGCTCTCTAGCAGGTGGACATCTGCAGCAGTTTCTCTTGTATCATTTCAAATTTTCCAGGAACAGATTTATGTCCTTATGTGCAAACTCCAATGAGAATACGTTCTGTATACATCCTGTTCTCTGCCCCTTCTCCTCTGAAATAATTCTTAGGCAATTGTCTGTAGAGCAGCATATATAATGTAGGTCCACTTTATTGTTTGTTTGTTTGAGACAGGGTCTCACTATGCATTTCAGGCTGGTCTTGAACTCACTAAGTAGCCCAGGTTGGCCTCAGACTCTTGGGGATCCTTCTGCCTCAGCCTCTAGAGTGCTGGGATCACAACCATGCACCACCATGCCTGGCTAGGACAAGTTTCATACTACACCTTTTGGGACTATCCCTGGTACTTTCTTGTCCTGGGAATTATGTATATTTCATACAGAGGTTTCATTTTAAACAAAAAGTTAATTTTACACTCTCACCTAACTTCTGTGGCATATACCACTTCATCCTAAGGGCAACCAAAATTTACTCTTTTTTCTGCTATAAACATTTCTGGGGAAAAATAACCTCCTTGATAGATGGATTTTTGTATGTTTGTACAAATGTACATATGGTTTAGTCATAAGTCCAGAGTTGCTGAGTCTAAGTGTGCCTGGATCTTTTATCAAGGATGGGCCTATTGGACAGGGCACCAGGGAGATGAGAGCAGACCCTGTCCACGAGGCTTCTGGCCATAGCGCAGTTCTCAGGTGGGAGTCAGGTGATACCAAAGAAATCTATGAGCTGGTCTTTTTTGTTATTTTTCAGTGCTGAGGCTTGAACCAAGGGCCGCTCTGACACTGAGCTACGGACATCCCTAGCACCCCCTCCTCCTTTTAAGAATAAAACTTTCCTCAAAACATGACAGCTTGTTTTGCTTTGTTTTGTTTTCTGTAGACAGATGCTCCTTGACTTACCACAATGGGATTTCCCCATCATAAGTTGAAAATATTGGAAGTGGAAAATGCAGTCAATAGCGCTGACCTAGCGTGTTGGTTGCACCCCAGTGACTGACTGGGTGTGGGCAGCTGCTTGGGAGCTGCTGCTCATTTCCGCTGCCCAGCATGGCAAGCGAATCCCCAGGAAAAGATCAAAATGCAGAGTTCCTGAGCCAGGCATGGCGGCGCACACCTGTGATCCCAGTGCTCCAGAGGCTGAGGCAGGAAGATCACTGTAAGTTCAAGGACAGCCTGAGCTACATAGTGAGTTCAAGGACAGCCTCAACCACCTAGTGAGATCTTGTCTCAAAAAAACAAAAAAAAACAGCTGGGGGTTTAGCTCAGTGGATCCGCCACCTGCCCCGAAAGCACAAGGACCTGAGTTGGATCCCCGGTTCCAAACAAAAAAACAAAAAACCCAAAACCTCAGAATTCCAAATACTTTGTTTATCAAAGTTGTGTTTCTTTCCCAGCCACCATCATTAAGTTGAAAAAAAGCATCAAATAATCCTAGATTGAAGATCATCTGTTTTATTCCAGAGGAATAGAACTATAACAGTAGAGGTATAAATGGGGGATGTTGATCTATTAATCCCATTTCTATTCTTTCCGGTTATTTCCCCTTTTAATGTCCAAATGAAGATGATCTCCCATTCCGTTTCCTGCAAATGACATAATTTACAGGCTGAGCAATATTCCGTTGTGTATATACACAGTCTCTTCATTCATCTGTGATGGGTGCCTAGACGAGCCCCTCATGGCTACTGTACATTGTGCCATAGTAAACACAGAAATGCAGCTATCCCTACTGTGTGTTGACCCTTCAGGGTTGTACTGAGGGGTGGTAGAGCTGGATCAAGCAGTAGCTCTTTTTTTTTGAGACAGTCTCACTACATAGTTCAGGCTGCCTTTGAACTCACTGTGTAGCCCAGTCGGGCCTCAAACTCACAACCATCCTCCTCCCTCAGCCTCCCAAGTGCTGGGATTATAGGTGTCTGCCCTGCCGCTGCACCCAGGCCCTGTTCTCCATATTTTAAGTGAACTTAGTGCTATTATCCTAACTGTTGGTGCCTTTAAACTTTTAGCATCCTCCCTGGTAAGTGGGTGCTCATGAGATTGACTGCCTGAATAATTTTCTGTAGGTTTCTTTTCCAGCAGCTGGGGTCTGAGCAAGTTCCAGTGACCTGCTCGTTGCTGCAGATCTGTTTGCCTCTGCAAGCCAGCTCAAAGAGGCGCTGGGAGTGGGGCGGGGTTTCCTAGGGCTGCCTTTACACACTGAATGACTTGACACAAATTTATTCCTTTACAGTCCAGGGGCCTAATGTCTGCATTTAGGTGACATCAGGGCTGGCTCTAGAGGTGCAAGGGAGACCGACCTGGTTGGGGCAGGTCTTCAGTTGGCTTCCTTTGCCTTCCTAGCCCCATGTTCTGTGTCTCTTAAAATGCTGGCAGACATTGGGGTCAGGACTTGACCTGGTTCCCTACCCAAATACTGTCGCGGGTATGGGCAGGGACTGGTTAGGATTTGGCTGTATCCATTCTGGGGACACAAATCATCCCACAATATAAGTGGGGGTTCATTCATTCAGAGTCCGGTGACTTTCTGTTACATACTCTGCTGCCTATGGAGACCGAGCTAATGCAGCTCTGTCCCATTGTGAGTTACCATAGCTCCCCAAAAGCTTGCCTGACATCCTCACGGGGCAGAATTCTGAGCTTTTTCTCTCCTTTCACAGGTGTCCCAATGAGCCACGCAGGGAATGGGGATGAAGTGAATGGAGACAGAACCACAGGAAAGCGGCCTCGACGGGAGGAGACCCACGTCTGTGACAAGTGCTGTGCCGAGTTCTTTATTCTCTCTGAGCTCCTGGGACATAAGAAAAATTGCACTAAAAACCCGCCTGTCCTCATCATGAATGACAGCGAGGGGCCAGTGCCTTCCGAGGACTTCTCCCGAGCTGCACGGAGCCACCAGCCACCCAGCCCAGGCGGGAAGGACGGCCATAGGGAGAGCAGCAGCAGCTCTGGGGACGCGAAGGAGAAGCCGGGCGCAGAGTCTGTCCTGTACTTGAAGACAGAGACGGCTCTGCCAGCCGCCCCGCAGGACATAAGCTTCTTACCCAAAGGCAAAGTGGCCAACACCAATGTGACTCTGCAGGCACTGCGAGGCACCAAGGTGGCTGTGAACCAGCGCAGCGTGGACGTGTCCCCCACGCCCGTGCCCGGCCCCAACAGCATCCCGTGGGTGTTGGAGCAGATCTTGTGTCTGCAGCAGCAGCAGCTGCAGCAGATCCAGCTCACGGAGCAGATCCGGGTCCAGGTCAACATGTGGGCCGCACACGCCCTCCACTCGCCTGTGGCCGGGGCTGACGCCCTGAAGACCTTGGGCAGCCATGTGTCCCAGCAAGTGTCAGCCGCCGTGGCCTTGCTCAGCCAGAAGGCCGGAAGCCAAGGCCTGTCTCTGGATGCCTTGAAACCAGCCAAGCTACCTCACGCCAACATCCCTCCCGCCCATGGCTCCCTGTCCCCGGGGCTGGCGCCCTTTGCCCTGAAGCCGGATGGGACTCGGGTGCTCCCCAATGTCATGTCTCGACTTCCGGGGGCTTTGCTACCTCAGGCCCCGGGCTCTGTGGTCTTCCAGAGCCCTTTCTCCACTGTGGCGCTAGACCCATCCAAGAAAGGGAAAGGGAAGCCCCCCATCTCCGCGGCGGATGTCAAACCCAAAGATGAGGCGGTCCTCTACAGGCACAAGTGTAAGTACTGTAGCAAGGTTTTGGGGACTGATAGCTCCTTGCAGATCCACCTCCGCTCCCATACTGGAGAGAGACCCTTCGTGTGCTCGGTCTGTGGTCATCGCTTCACCACCAAGGGCAACCTCAAGGTGCACTTCCACCGTCACCCCCAGGTGAAGGCAAATCCCCAGCTGTTTGCCGAATTCCAGGACAAAGTGGTGGCAGGCAATGGTGTCCCCTGTGCACTCTCTGTCCCTGTCCCCGCAGATGAATCGAGTCTCTCTTTAGACAGCAAACCTGTCCTTGTAACAGGGACCCCTCCCGTAGGGCTACGTCAACATATCCCCTCGGGGACTAACCCCAAGGACCTCATGGGTGGCCCACTGCCCAGTGACCTGCAGCCCGGGCCTTCCCCAGAAAGTGAGGGTGCACCCACACTGCCTGGGGTGGGGCCCAACCATAATCCCCCAAGGGTTAGTGGCTTCCAGGGGAGTGGGCCCTCTGAGCCAGGGTCAGAGACCCTGAAATTGCAGCAGCTTGTAGAGAACATCGACAAGGCCACCACCGACCCCAATGAATGTATCATTTGCCATCGAGTCTTAAGCTGCCAGAGCTCCCTCAAGATGCATTACCGCACCCACACCGGTGAGAGGCCATTCCAGTGTAAGATCTGTGGCCGGGCCTTTTCCACCAAAGGCAACTTGAAGACGCACCTCGGTGTCCACCGCACCAGCACGTCTGTGAAGACGCAGCATTCGTGCCCCATCTGTGAGAAGAAGTTCACCAACGCGGTCATGCTGCAGCAGCACATTCGCATGCACATGGGCGGCCAGATCCCCAACACACCCCTGCCCGGGAGTCCCTGTGACCTTGTGGGTCCCGAGCCCACCATGCTCAGGGAGAACAGCGGCGCGGGTGCCACCTGCCACGATGATGTTGTCAAAAGCATCGATGTAGACGACATCGGCTCCCACGATGCCCCCTGCGGCTCCTCCAAGGTGCCCACTCCACTTCCCGGCACCCACGTGCCATCGCCCACTCTGGGGTTCTCAGTGGTGGCTTCCCAGGATGCCCCAGGGAAGGTGGGCCCTGCCCCTTTGGGCCTGCAGCGCCAGAACAGCCGAGAGAACGGCTCTGTGGAGAGCGACGGGCTGACCAATGACGATTCCTCGCTTGCGGGCGACCAGGAGTATCAGAGCCAAAGCCCAGATGCTGTGGAAACCATGTCCTTCCAGCCACTGTCCCCGGCCAATAGCCAAGCGGAAAGCATCAAGTCACGGTCCCCTGATACTGGGGTCAAAGCCGAGAGCTCCGAGAACAGCCGCACTGAGATGGAAGGTGATAGAACTTTGGATTTAACTTATGTCCATTTTGGGCTCAAGGTCATCAAAAAGGAACCTGGGTTGAACTTGACAAACGGAGTATGATCTGAAGCAGGTCCTCTGTAGGGCGATTAGCATTTCTGTACTTCTGGGTAGAGGGATATAATAACTGCCTCTATCCTGGCAATGAACACACTTTTTAGGTTTATAATGAATGGTTAATGTCAATTAGGCACGGACAGTAAGTTTTATTGGTTTTTATTGTCTTTTTTTTCCCCCTTGGGTTTTTGAGATAGGATCTCGCTATGTATTTCAGGCTGACCTTGAACTCACTATGTAGCCCAGGCTGGCCTTGAACTCACAGTGATCCTCCTGCCTTAGCCTCCCGAGTGCTGGGATTACAGGTGTGCACCACCACACCCAGCTTTATTTTTGTCTTTGAGCCCATGGGGACATAGGTAATTATAAGTAAATCCCAATAGAAGTATATTTGAGCAGTGGGCACTGCTTTTCTGTCACTGAAATGAGCCATGGTTCTGTGATTCTGGGCTCCAACTCCCTGTTGGAATGTTCACAAATTAATCACTGATGAAGGGGGAAAAGACTAACAACCTACTTTATCAACTGTGGGGACTTATTTATGTCATTAATTGTAAAATGGGAAGAGCTGTATCATAGAATCAAAGGTAGTGTTTGGGCATATTTGAAAGGTGACTTGATGCAGAAATTTGAATTTGACTTGCATGTGTTCCTGTGCTGCCCATACCTTTATACAAACCAACATGGTAAATTTTCTTTAGTTATTCTTGATGCAAAGATGCAATTCCAAGGGAAGCTGCTTTTGAGGTAGAAATTTCCTGTAAGTGTTCTCCACTTGCTTATTGGGCAGTTGTTTTGACAGGTTTCTTTTGTTCTGAAGAATGAAAGGGTGTCGATGATAAAGGTGTGGATTTCTCTCCCCTTCCACGTACCAGGTCGTAGCAGCCTGCCATCGACGTTTATCCGAGCACAGCCCACCTATGTCAAAGTTGAAGTTCCCGGGACCTTTGTAGGCCCCTCCACCATGTCCCCAGGCATGACTCCGCTGTTGGCTGCCCAGCCCCGCCGTCAAGCCAAGCAGCACGCCTGCACGCGCTGCGGGAAGAACTTCTCCTCAGCTAGCGCCCTGCAGATCCATGAGCGGACACACACTGGAGAGAAGCCTTTCGTGTGCAACGTGTGCGGGCGAGCGTTCACCACCAAAGGCAATCTGAAGGTGGGTTCGCCACACTCTTGGGAGGGTTGGCCGGGGTTTGAGCAGCATCTATGTTGCTGCGCTCCGTGATTTGCCACTGAGGACTAGATGGGCTGGGGTAGCTCAGTTGGTGGTAGAGCACTTGGCTTGGCATGTGTGAGGCCGTGGGTTTGATTCCCAGGACTCAAGAGGGGAGGGGAGGAAGGAAAGAAGACCAAATGGGATATATAATTGCATTTCACAGCTGGCTTTTTTTGGGGGGGGGTACCAGGGATCGAACTCGGGACCTTGCGAGACAGGCGGTAGCATTACTGAGCTAAATCCCTGGCCCTCAAAATTTTTTTTTTTTTTTTGGTGCTGGGGATCGAACTCGGGAACTTGTGCTTGTGAGGCAGGCAACAGAACCACTGAGCTAAATCCCCAGCCCCCTCAAAAATTTTTTAAAGAAGTATATTTTCTCACACTGCAATATCTTAAAGTGGGATGTTCTTGAATTTTGCGGGATAGCAGAGCATTGTATGCATAATTTGTAATGGCTTTTCCTAGCCTTGATGGCACATAAAGTAATGATGCATGGGCCGAGGATTTAGCTCTGGCACTGTGAGCCTGCCTTGCAAGCACAGGGTCCCAAGTTCGATCCCTGGTACAAAAAAAACTATTGATGCATTTGCCAAGTGGTGCCACCCTGAAGCAGGATGTGGTTTGCTTTGTGCTTTTTTCTCAGACCCTGATTTCTTTGAACCATAGTTAAGTGAGGCCTGGGATGTAGCTCTATGGTAGAGTGCCTGCTTACCATGTGCAAAGCTCTGAGTTCAGTTCCTGGTGCCATGCAGAAAGACGGCAACAATAAAATGCCAAAACAGAATAGATGCATGAAATAAGATCTGGAAACACAGATGACATTTGCTGTAAATTGTAAGGTAGTGTTGATCATGTATGGACTTGTGTCGCCTTGCAGACTTCGTGAGCAGTCTGCTCTGGTTTTTGGTTTTTTTTGGGGGGGGGCGGGTTTTGGTATCGAGGATTGAACTCAGGTCCTTGCCCTTGTGCAGCAGGTAGCTAAACCACTGAGCTAAATCCCCGGCCCCTTGTTTTGTTTTTTGGTACAGGGGATTGAACTTGGGACCTTGAGCTTGCAAGGCAGGCGGCAGCTCAACTGAGCTAAATCCCCAGCCCCTGCTCTGTATTTTTGTTCCCTGGACTGCTTAGTTGAAATAAATGCCATGAGTTAAATGTGTGTATAATATAAACATGTACAGTAGCACTAGAGGTTGTTTTCTTTGAGACAAGGTCTCACTATCTAAGGTGTCAAACTCCTGGTGCTTTTCCTATGTCTGCCACCAGACCTGCAGGGTTCAACCACTGTGGTTTAAAATAGAGAGTAGCCTCCGGGTTATTGTCCATGTTGTCATTGCTGGGAAGGTGAGTGGATTTCTTCGGAGGAGTTGCCCATGGAAGGGTTAAAAGCAGCTTGTGCAAAGCAGTTGCAAAGAAGGGGCTCAGGTTTCCACTTAGCCCTGCCTGTGGTCTACTGTGCAGACTTGTTTGGGGTTTTGTGGTACTGTGGATTGAACACGGGGCCTTATTTGTGCAAGTAAGTGCTATTATAGCTCTAAGTTGAGCCAAGTTGCAGACTTGGGGATAGTGTCTTTTGCTGGTTTTATTGGACACAAGAGGCCTTGGGCAGCTGACTCTTTGGGCCTTGGTCTCCCTTCTGCTGGGTATAAGGATGATGAGACTGGAGATTTGAGTACACTGTATCAAGTGCTCCTGGCTGTGGCCTTTCAAGTTACACTTTAGCAGCTGCTCAGGGATTCAGTGAGTCACCTGCTGAGGCTGTTGGGATCACTGGGAAACCTCTGAGGATGACAGTAAAGGTGAAATGAAAGCGCCTGACTCAACCTGGTACCTAGCACAAGGAAGCTGAAAGGATAAGTGAGCAATGCAGCCAGGTTGAAGGAGCAATGGGTTAGCAGGATCTCTTCATCAGAAGAGATTAATCAGTCTAAATTAGATTGTATCCACTTCCCACTATGAGGCATTCCTAGCAACGTTTACTTTTCTCTGAGTGATGATGGCTAGACTTATTTGCTTTTTAGTTTTACATTTTGCAGTGCTGGAGACAGCACCCGGGGCCTGGTGCATGCTACGTAATTAGCTGTGTTAGCATTGAAGGTTGTGTTTTAAAAAATGACTTCCAAGTGAATTTTTTTATCCAAGTAATTGTAGATTCACACGCGCCAAGGAGAGTAGAGATTTTGGGGTATATTTCACCTAGTTTCTCATTTTGTAAGCGTGGTAGTTGAGTAGCACACTCTGGAGTGGGAGAGTGATACGATCTTTGTCTTGTTCAGAGTCCTCCTTGTCCTTAAACTTAAGCGTGTGTTAAGCTCTGCACTTTTTCATTACCTGGAGACGTTTGTATACCTGTAAATATTAACGGTGATATTTGGAACATTCCCAGCAAGTAGCAGGTGTTCACATAAATGTACACATATTGCCAGGTTCTGCGGTATTTTTCTTCCCCTCCACGAGACAAGACCAGATAATCTGAATTTTTTTTTTTTACATAATCTAATTTCTAAATACAAAAGTATGCTAAGACCCTGTTTGGATGGGCCCACACTGCTCTGCAGATTTGTGCTTGCCGATAATCAGTTGAATCTCCACCTGATCCGAATCTCCCTGTCCTGTCCTGCCAGGTCCACTACATGACCCACGGGGCCAACAACAACTCTGCTCGCCGTGGGCGGAAGCTGGCCATCGAGAACACCATGGCTCTGCTGGGTACGGATGGAAAGCGAGTGCCGGAAATGTTTCCCAAGGAGATCCTGTCGCCCTCAGTAAGCGTGGACCCGGTGGTGTGGAGCCAGTACACCAGCATGCTCAACGGAGGCCTGGCCATGAAGACCAATGAGATCTCGGTGATCCAGGGCAGCGGGATCCCTACCCTGCCCGTGTCCCTGGGGGCCAGCTCGGTCGTGAGTAACGCCACCGCCTCCAAGATGGACGGCTCCCAGTCTGGGGTCAGCGCAGAGGCAGAAAAGCCAGGTGTTACTGACAGTGTTGCCAAACACCAATTCCCTCACTTCCTGGAAGAAAACAAGATCGCAGTCAGCTAAACTCAAAGAGAAGTCTGGTGGAAAGAGAATGCAGGCGATCTCCTGTTTGCTTTTTTTCTTACTGATATGCAAATGATGTTTACAGTTGTGACCCAACCTGGGGTAATCCTACAATCACAATTGTTGCTGTGCTGCTTTGCAAAGCAAAAGAAAAAAGAAAAAAAGAAAAACAAAACAAAAAACCCCAGAAAATTCATACCAAAACAGACTAGATTTTTTTTTTTTAATTTTGGAAAGAAGCGGGTCTTGCAAAGTAGCTTTATTACTTGCAACAAACTATATACGTAAAAGCTTTGTACAACCTAGAGTGACTCTTTCCAAAGATTGTCACCTGTGTCGAAGTGTGCCAGTTGGAACTTACTGCCCCACAGTGGAAAAGACAACGACTTAGCCTAATTGTGGGGGTGAGGTACGGTACACTTCCATGCTGACTCTATGCGGGTAATGGACAAAGGTTTGCCATCTATTTAGGGGCCAGTTCGATGTGGCTCCCCCCAACCCTTTACCATCTTTTGTTTCGTTTTTGTTTGTTGAATGTACTTAAAGAAAACAACAAGGTTGCAGAATTAACAAAATTCCTTCAACCTTAGGACCTTAGGTAGATGCCCTCATGTGGACTTACTGTAGTCTGTAGGGAGCCAGTGTCCGTGTTGCTGCTTATTTAAATACAGTTCACCTGGAGCCCCAGAGTGCCCACTTCGCCCCCACTTCACAGATGCCTTCGTCTTCCGGCACCAGGAGAGGTGGGCGCCTGAGCCAGAATTCTCAGCTGACTTGGGGTTCACCAGTGCCGGCTGTTTTGAAGAACTGCGTTTTCATTCTTGAAACTCATGGAAGATTGAAATTTTGTATCACAAGTTCACATGTTTGTTTTTGTTTTTAAATGGTGCAACTTAAGCCAAGTAATAATGAAGATTTTTTTTTCCCCCTGCTTGGGTGTATCACATGAAGGCTATGAAGCTGGAACAGGCAAGTCCTAGGTGTGAAAGCTTTAATTTATCTACCTCATTTATTTTTTATTTTTGTAGCCATAGTCTCTATTTTCCTATTTGATGACCGCTGAAGTATTCCAGGCTCCATCTTAAACCTAAGAGTTGATATACTGTGGGAACAGCTGGATGTTCAAGATGTCTTTGATTCCTTTTTTTAATCCCCTTTGTACATGTAATAATATTGAGCAGATGGTGAAACATTGCTCTAGCAGTTTAATGAGGAAGGAGAAAAAAGACCCGGCTGCTGGTAGAGAAGTCTTTCCCACTGCTGAAGCCCCTGGTTGCAATGTGGATCGAGACTGTTACGCCAAGTTCCGTCACTTAGTTATTGCACCTGACTTTAGGATCCAAAAAAGTGTTTTTGCCAAGTTGTGCCTTTCCTTCTGGAATTGTAAGAGAACACAATAATAGTACCTGTTTACACTGTGAAGTGCATACTGTTATGAGAACACCCCAGTGGCTTTCTCACTGTCGAGCTCAGAATGCCTTGTGAATGTATGATCTATGGAGGACCCCTGTAGTTGTACCTGCTGATGCTGTCCGTCTGTTGGAAAATAAATTTTGAATGTTTTTCCCCCACCAAGCGTGCATGTATATTTTTCAGGTACTTTCATCTTGAACCTGAGAATCTTTGCTTTTGTTAAAATGGTCTCATAGAGAATGTTTTTTTTTTTGTTTTTTTGAGACAGGTCTTGCTGTGTAGGCCGTGCTGTCCTCAAATTTGTAATTCTCCTGCCTCAGCCTCCTGGGTGTGGGGATTACAGGAGTGTGCCCCCATAGGTGGCTCTGAGGACTTTTGCTTGTGGTTAGAGAGGGCTTCTCATGCTGTGGATTACTCCATGCCTCAGCCCACCCTAATCTGTACATGTCACTGGGTAGAGAAGAAATGTTGACATCTCACCGTCTTGGGCTGTGTAGGGAATTGCTGGGCCTGGCATGTGGTGCATGCTTTGTAATTTTAATGTTCTGAGAGGCTGAGGCAGGAGGATTACAAATTCAAGCACACCCTGGGCAATTGGGTGAGAACCTGACGCAGTACAAAGGGCTCAGGATGTAGCACATTGCCAAGGTCCTGGGTTCAATCCCCAAGACAGGGAAAAAATATTTTTAAAAAGGAATAGCTGATACTTTTATTGTGTTAAATGTTTATGTGTGTGTGTGGTGTTTGGGATTGAATCAAAGGTTTTGCACCTGGAAAGCAAGTGCTGTAAAGCTGAGCTACGTCCCCCAGGAGGTTTGTGAAATCGCTCAGGCTGCCCTTGGATGTTTGACACCCTCCTGCCTTGGCCTCTGAGTAACTGGGATCACAGGCACGTGCCATCATGCCTCGGGTTAAGTTTTTGCTCTTGTTTTGGGGCAGTACTGGGAATCAAACCCCAGAGCCTTCTTAATTTTGATATAGGATCTAAGTCACTAGGTTGTCCAAGCTGGGGTCAGATTTGAGATCCTCTTGCTACCTTCCAGAGTGCTGAGGTTACAGGGATGCAGCAGAGTGTTCTTACCATAGGAAGACTTCATCAGCACACAGAGAAAGTGGTGACTGGGCAGAGGTACCCAGGTGGGTAAGAGCAGGTCAGTTCTTTCTGGTGAATGACCCTTGTGCCTACATTTTGCTGCTGCATCTTCACAGATCAGTGGGGAGAAGCAGAAGCCATCAGACCCTGTGAGAGTTCACCTGCCTTAGTTGTCTTTGCAGGTAAAATATACGGCAACAGGCAGGGATTCGGCTCAGTGGTAAGAGCATTCGCCTGGCATGCACAAGGCCCTGGCTTCACCCCTTGCATTGGAAACCCCCTTCCCCCATACACACAAAGCAAGCAAACAATTATAGCTACTGTGCAGCATGTTCATGAGAAGCTACCCTGTCTTGTGTCTTGTATAGGCCCTATATCCAGAGCCGTGCTTTTGGTACTTAATGGGTGACTGAAGGCATTCCACAAAAGTAGTATCCTTAGTCACTCTGATTTTTACCTTTCACATTGGCTGGTAAGAACGAATTCTTCACCCATTGTGGTGGTCCACGCCTGTAATCCCAGCACTCAGGAGGCTGAGAGGAGAACTGCCCTGAGTTCAAGACCAGCCTGGGCTACATAGTGAGACCCTTTCACTTAAACTTTCGCTTTTTCCCCCATGTTTTTTTGATACCAGGAATCGAACTCAGGTCCTTGCGCTTGCGCAGCAGGCAGCAAAACCACTGAGCTAAATCCCCGACCCCACTTTTTCCCCGTCTTGAATCAGGATTTTCAGAGCTGCTGTGCATGATGTAGGACACCACTGGGATGTGTAAGGTGACCTGTTTGTGGGTCTGACCTGTACCAGGCTGAACCCAGTGACAGTTCAGCTAAAGCACAGACAGCAGCAAGGCAGGTGCTGTGTCACAGGAAGTTCTCCATTATTCCGAGGCCTGTAACCCAGTGTCTACAACCCAGGTCCTCTGAGCACAAATTGTCACCACACACAAGTCCAGAAGAGAAAACTCAAGTTAGATGATAAAGGTCCATTTCAAAACAGTGGAGGGAAAGATAGGTTCGCAAAGAGATGCAGCTTCATCTGGAGTACAAGTCCCAGCTCAGCACTTTGCTGGGTGCTCTAGGCAGAAGAGCTTGCGCCTTGTCAGTTACCTCATCTGAAAAGTGGGTGCAAATCTGATTCATAGAGCTATGGTGAGATTAGATCAGACATGAGAATCCTTAATTTGGAACAAGGGCATCATTCAGTCTGGCAGCTGATACTGTTCTGTTGGCAGGGAATCTGAACTATCCTGCTTAGACTCTCATGGACTCTGCTGGTATAACCTGTGGAGGCTGAAGATGAAGGTCACTGGGTCATCAGGCAGCCAGCTGTGGGCAACACCGTTCACCTCAAAGGTGATGTGAAATGGTGCAGCTCGTAAACAAGAGTGTATCCATGCAAGTGTATGTTTTCACCGTTTCTTGTTTGCTTTAAAAACGCAAAGTGCAGAAAAGAAAAAGGGCCGACCTTTAAGGTGAGCTCTCTGTAGGTCATAAAATAACTTACTGACTGGTTTAGCCAGAGCTACCATGTTCTGTTCATTCTCACTTCGTACCCCATTCCCCTGTCCACTACCACCAGACACCCCCAGACATTGAGGCTCAAGTGGGTGTGCAAGGTAGCCGAAGCCTGCTGGCCCCATGCCCTTTTTTGGGTATGGGGGAGGCCCATTGAGAGTCCATGGAGTGAATGTTTTACGATCTTGTATTGTGCCCACATCTACACATGACAGCCAACCACACCTCTGGTGTCCTTCATTTATTTGATGGATTCTGTGTGCATAGTGCATTCACTTAAAGGGTGGGATTTTTTTCAGTGGGAAAACAATGGCTTCCTAAATAACCTAGATTCCCTCAATTACCCTAGTTGTTTTCTCTTTCCAAACATGGGTAAGCACATAAAAGAAGGAGTGCCAATTTTTGTTAAAGAAAAAATGGATTTACCTTTGGAGCTATCTAAGCACCTAATGTGGGTAAAAAAGAAATCAGTAGCCAGGTGTGGTGATGCACACCTGTAACCCCAGCACACTGGGAGGCTGAGGCAGGAGGATGACAAGTTTGAGCCCAGCCTGGGCAAGGTGGTGAGTTAGTGAGACCTTGTCTCAAAATAAAAAGGGCTAAGGATGTAGCTCAGTGTGAGGCCCTGGGTTCAATCCCCAGTACTACCAAAAAACAGGAAGGAGGAGGAGAAATTGCAACCTCTAAGTATCAAAATAAAAACCAAGCATTAGTTCCACTGGGGCCAAGGTAATACAAGGAAGTAAATTTAACTGTCATGTGAAAGAGAACTTCACAATTGGGTTTTAAGGTAAAACCTTGCAAATGTGTTCAGAAAGAAACATCAGGTGGAGCTGAGTGGTGGAGCACTTGCCCAGCATGTGTAGGGCCCTGGGTTCCATCCCCAGCCCTGCAAAAAACAAATCTCACCAAACTCTCACTTTAAAATGTAAAATACACGTGATAGTGACTTTCTAAGAGAAAAGTGAACATCCAGAATAGCTTTTCTCCCTTGCCCTATCATTTCCACTCTCCAACCTTTTGAAGATAGGTAACCTTTTATGTGAAGCAAAGACAAAAGGAGTCTGGTGTTCTGAAGACTGAGGTATGTACAGTAATGCCTCGGTTCATGAATGGCTCTGTTTGCAAACAAAAGTGTTTGGCAAAATTTTGCTTCCGTTAACAAACTGCATTGGGTGACAAACAGGACCACAGCTATCTTCCCCAAACAAACAGAAGCACAACCATCTTCCCCCAAATGGTAAAATAAATTAAGTTCAAGGTACCACTGTATTTTATTCTAGTGGGAAAACTACCAGTCCTTAAAATTCTTTTTAAAAAGCAGTGAAACTATGATCATATCATCTGGTAAATCCTGTAGGTACGACTGGGGTTGGCTTTAGCTTTCCCTCTCCTTGTTTAAGTTTTCTTGCTTGCTGAACACTCGCAGCTTTGAGGCCATCCTGGTAAGGGAAATCATTTTTACTGATTTCCCTAAATGTCCTGAGGTAGGAAATCAGGGCTGGGGCAAAGCAAACAACTGGGTGAAATCTGCCAAAGTCATGAATCCTAGGACACATGCACAGAACCCTGGCTCCAGGGTGATGAGAGTTCCTGAGAACCATTTATGGAACCAATCAGAAAAGTGCTATTTTTGGGCTGGGAATTTAGCTCAGTGGACCCGCTGCCTGCCTCACAAGCGCAAGGTCTCGAGTTCGATCCCTGGTACCAAAAAAAAAAAAAAAGAGAAGTGCTATTTTTCAATTCTTCATTTACATGTAATTAAAGCAAGTTTTCATCTCATGCCAGAACAAGTGAGTTTTTGATAGGACAGCCTGACCCAATGCCTTACTTGCATGAGGGGGAAGCCAATCCAAATAGTCCAGATACAAAAGGCCCCTTTTCCTTCCCCTCATGGCCGTGTAAGTCTCTTCACTGGCCTGCTCTCACTCTTCCACCTTCAGTACATCCCCACTACATTGTGGGTCTTGTCCAATTCTTTGTTCAGGATACCAAGAACCTGGAAAGAATTCCCCAGGAGGCCGGGGATTTAGCTCACTGGTTCCGCTGCCTGCCTCGAAAGTGCAAGGACCTAGTTTGACCCCTGGTACAAAAAAACAAACAAAAACAAACAAACAATTGTCCAGGACCCATCATCTGGTAGCATGTTCTTGGCGAGCCAGCCAGGAGGTAAGACCCTTTGGGGAAAGGTGTTTTTTCGATTTGTTTTCCCCTCTCCTCTTTCCCTTTTGTTGTATGGTGACTCACGGTGGGCATGAGTTGGACAGCAAGAGCTGCCAGGGCTAACCCAATCACAGAATGGACCCTTTGAGGCGCTGCTGTGTGCAAAAAAACCTGTGGATCATGCAGGTTCCATGTGTGTGGAACCTAAGGCTTAATATGTCTCTTCCATACTTCTGTTCTTCCCATACTTTATTCAGCTTTCTCATTCTTTTGCGGGGATAACAATCAGTAACACGGTCTCCTGCTTGAGCAGCCACTTACCCCAGCTGGCCCCTTTTTGTGCTCACCACGATCATTTGTGCTTTGCCCTAGATGGACTTTGAT